TATATATATATATATATATATATATATATATATATATAAAGAGAGAGATTGGAGATATATTTGCTACAATGTGTAGCAATATAAAATAAAAATTGAATCCATAAAACCAACTTTCTGAACTTCAAAACAATGTCTTAAAAATTGAATTTGTCATCAAACTATACTTGCACATGTATTTTGTTTATGAGTGTTAAAAATTTTGATGTATGTATATAATTTGGAGAGATATTAGACAATTATAAAGCACACCTTATGTTATATAGCCTTATTTACTCTAAATAATTAAAAAAATTAAGGGTATATAAAATTATATTTACATAATTTTTCTTATTGTTTTTTTATTTATTTTATGTTTAAGATACAACAAAAGTAGAAATAAACTAAGTATTAGCAAATAACTTAAAGAGATCAATAATTTTTAAGAGGGAAGTCTTACTTAATTAAGTGACCCACCTTAGTCACTTAAGTAAAGATTAGCATAGAACTAACTCTATTGGGCATGGAATTTTAATATTATCTAGATTAATACCATAATTTAAAACACCCAAATATTATTTATGTTTAAGGTAAATTGTGTACCTCTCAATGACATCTTCTGTAACTCTTCCTTAGTATCACAAAACGTACGCACGTGTATACATCAAGAACAAACTCTTCCGCTTGAAGTCTTCCTCTTTTAAAGACTGATCCCTTGATGGAACCTTGAGCCGTTAGAGAGCGTATATATTTCAAGAGTCAAGTGAGGATCTTGCCTCCTTTTAATAAAAAATAAATAAATAAAAACATGGGTTACCTAATTTACTTCCATCATAGATATTAGGCCCATTAGGCCCTACACATACTACTCAGCACACTTGCATACTAGACTCAACCCAATAATTATATGTACATATGGTGATTCTCAAAACTCAAATTAGGATAATAGAATAACATATAAGGTCATATATTTAACCCATTTTAATAAACTAAAATTACACCAATTAATAGTAGTTTAAATAAAAGAAAATTCTAACATGGAAGACTCGCTTAAGCATATCACATTGGTTGCTTAAGCGAGTGAGAATGAACAGTTTCAATTTGATGAAGTTAAAGACTTGCTTAAGCAAATTAGTCGAGTTGCTTAAGCGGGGTATGTCAAAAAACTCACCTTGGAGTATTTCAATGTCTCACTTAAGTGAACCTTACTATTCACTTAAGCAAGCAAATGTTGACAAACCCAATATTAGAAAATGCAAAAAGACCCAAAAGAAAAACTTAGACATCATTAATGAGCAAAAGCAAAATTTTTGTTTTGGGAGAGAACGAGAGAAAGAGAAAACACAAATGTCTTCATTGTGGACTTGTCCAAGATTCCATCTTCTAATATTGTTTTGTCTTATATTAGTTGTGAGCGGTTAATTTACCTATGTTGACAATTCATATAATTAACTCTGCTCCATGTACTCTTTCTCATTCATTTATTGAATTATTTATTTCAATTAAATGTTATTCTTTTTCGTCTTAATGTTTGTTTTGGAATGACCACCTACAATTTGATTTTACAAAATTTAAAGATTAGAAATGGGTCTATGAACAAAAGAGTGACGGTAACCCACCACAGGGTACGTTATGTTATACTTCCTTACAAAATTTAATATTTATTTTGGAATGACCACCTATAATTTGATCTTACAAAGTTTAGTTACTAGTTATACAAAATGAAAATTTATCATATGCATTTTTAGTTATACAAAATGAAAACTTATATGCATTTTTGCAAATTAAATTACTAGTTAGCTAAAAAATAAAGAGGAAAACAATAAACTGAAATAGAGAAACAATTAAAGAAATAAATATCATGAATATATAAAAGGATCATAGTTTGAAATGATAAAAAAGAATTTATAGATCTACATGAATCTAAAACATTTATTTTTTTTCTTTAATTTACTTTACTAATCACATGGTGTGTTATAATTGAAAAATAGCTTAATCTGCTTACAAATTACGCTCTGTCTTATTTTAGATTTTGCAAGTTTTTTTTTTTTGTTTTGTTTTGTCATTTGTCGATTTTTGAATTTTTCTTCTTCTTTTAATCCTTATCATTAACTCTAATAAGTTAAGTGATAAAATGAGAAAAAAAATACAAATATTAATTAAAATAATTAAAGTGATAAATAATATTTTAGATTAAAATAAAAAAAATATTTTAAGTGCATAATTCAATTAAGTAATATATTTTATTATTTATTTTTATATAAACAAGGTAATTCTTATATCAGTTTTATAATTTATCTTTAACTTTTAATATTTTATAAATAATATATATATATATTTTAAAAATTTTAATATTCTTCTTATTTTTAATATACTAGTTTACTTTTAACATTGTGTATTATAAAAAAATTATATCTTTTTTGGTAGATTAAAAAGTATTATAATTTACTTTTAATATATTATCTTTATTTTTGGGACAAAATTGTTGCTTGTGATAAATTAATAAAATTGTATTAAATCAATCAAAATCAATGAATAAAAAATATAAAAATAAAAAAGTTGAAAGTATATAACGATAAAAAATTGAATTTCAAAAATATAATTATTAAAAATAAATTAACAAATTAAAAAGTAAGAACAATATTAATTTACAATAAAATTACTATTCTTAATATATTAAAAATAAATAATAAAAGTAAATTATATGTGAATACTTCATTTATACTAGAAGGACAGAGGTACTTCGTGCATTTAATAGTTACACACAAACAAATATTAATTATTATGGATAGTTATTTAGAAAAAATATAATTTTTTTTATTTATATTCAATGAGTATAATCGTCCACTAAAAAGTGGAGACTAAAAAAGTAGTTACCAAAATATATCCTCTTTATAATATGTATAAATGTATAAATAAAATAATAAATATATTATTTAATTAAATTGTGTTTGTAAAAGTAATTTAATTATATTAATTTAAAATAACTTTTATTACTTTTAAAATCTTAACATAAATATTTTATATTTTTGACTATTTTGATACTAAATAAACTAGAGTTAGTGATAAAGAATAAAATAAAATACTAAAATAATGTTATAAATCTAAATTTTTTAAAAAGAACTTTATAAAAACTAAAATAAAATAGAAAAATACTTACATATACTTAAAACATATTTAAGAAGTAAAAAAGATATACGTTAAGAGATGTGAGTTTTTAAAATAATTTTTTACATCTTAAAACATTAGTGCCTGACTGTTGGACAAAATACAAATAATAACATGAATATATATAAATAAAAAAAAAGGATATTTGCTGATTGCTGAGTTGTTGCAGTGCAAATTAGCCGAGTGAGGCAGGAGAAGACTAACGTGAACGGGAGGAAAGTGTCACTCACAACGTAAACAAAACCATCGTTCTCTTTCTCTCTCAAAAAAATTATACGGTGGGTTTGAACTTTGAAGGCCAAATCATGCACAGTGCCTTGCAGTTACAGGTTCTGCAACTCACTTCTTCCTTCGATTTTCACTTTGCATTTCGCTATTTTGCTCAACCCATTACCTTATAGTTTTCCCAATTGCTTCAAATTTATGCAAATTTACCCCAAATCTCTTTCCCACTTTAGGGTTTTTGGGAATCTCAATGGACACCAGTGCTGCACGTGATTGAGTAGAATTACCCTCCTGCTCCAACTTGCATTGCTGTTTCAAATCTTCAATTTCCCTTTATTATTTATTATTTTCATTTTCATGTTATGGGTGGTGTTGAAATCCCCAATTGGCTGAAAGGGTTGCCACTGGCGCCAGTATTTCGCCCTACAGACACTGAATTTGCTGACCCAATTGCTTATATTTCAAAGATTGAGAAGGAAGCTGCCAACTTTGGGATTTGTAAGATAATTCCACCGTTGCCCAAACCTTCAAAAAGATATGTATTTTCTAATTTGAATAGGTCACTCTTGAAGTGCCCTGATTTGGGTCCTGATAGCAGTTCATTAGGTGTTTGTAATTCTTCAAAAACCAGTTCTGGGGATAGTAGTAGTTTTGGGGTGTCGCGAGCCGTGTTTACCACAAGGCACCAAGAACTAGGGCAGAGTCAGAGTGTGAAAAAATCCAAAGGGGCAGTTCAGAATCCACTGTCAGGTGTTCATAAGCAAGTATGGCAAAGTGGGGAAGCTTATACTCTGGAACAGTTTGAGTCTAAATCGAAGTCTTTTGCGAGAAGTGTGCTCGGTCCGGTGAAGGATGTTTCTCCATTGGTTATAGAGTCTCTGTTTTGGAAGGCATCTTTAGATAAGCCTATATATGTGGAGTATGCCAATGACGTGCCCGGTTCAGCTTTTGAAGAGTCCAAGGGTCAATTTAAGTATAGTCATAGAAGGCGAAGAAAAAGGACTTATTATAAGAGTAGGCTAGATAGCTCTGATTGTAAACAAACTGAAATGGGTTGTGTTAGAGATACACAAACTGATGAGACTATGGATGCTTCTGCCCCAAGTCATGCAGAACCGTGTTTGCAGATGACCAAATCAGCTACAACTGTGTCAACATTTTCATCAAACGAAGATTCACATTCGCAACCTTCTAAGGAAAAGGGTTCAGATGCCAGCAATGATATGCAAGGCACTGCTGGTTGGAAGCTTTCAAACAGTCCTTGGAACTTGCAAGTTATTGCACGCTCATCTGGCTCACTCACACGATTTATGCCGGATGATATTCCTGGTGTCACTTCACCTATGGTATACATTGGTATGCTGTTCAGTTGGTTTGCTTGGCATGTAGAGGATCATGAGCTTCACAGCATGAATTTTCTTCATACTGGCTCATCAAAGACTTGGTATGCTGTTCCAGGAGATTATGCCTTTGCCTTTGAGGAAGTCATCCGGACCAAGGGTTATGGTGGTAATGTTGATCACTTAGGTATGTAAATGCTTTGTCTGTTATTTGTTTACAGAAGATTTGGCACTAAATGTTGAAGAGACAGTACTATTTTAATTTTTTCAATTGAAATGTTTCTGTAATTGTTGAATATAGTCACCCCAAAAATAAGAATTTTTTTGTTTGATTTCTAACCTGATCATCTCATTTATGTTTCCTTTTAGTTGATCCATTTTATTCTAAGTTAGTTGAATGCTATAACTTCTACAGTGCATTTGTAACTCAAGTACAGTTTCTTTTTCTTGCCAGCTGCTTTGAAACTTTTGGGTGAGAAAACAACCCTTTTATCACCTGAGGTAATTGTTGCATCTGGGATTCCTTGTTGCAGGTCAGTTGCTTAACATATTTGATGTTGTTTTATTTTATGAATATCTCATGATGTTAAATTATATACTTACAAATTATTATTATTATTATTATTATTATTATTATTATTATTATTATTATTATTTAAAATATTAAATTTAAATAACCCACATGAGATTTATCATGTTAGTGATTTGTAACTTGT